GATTTCGGGTTTAGGGTTTAGGGTTTAGGGCTATGTGTTTCGGGCTTAGGGTTTAGGGTTTAGGGTTTCGGGTTTAGGGTTTCGGGCTTAGGGTTTAGGGCTTAGGGTTTAGGCCTTAGGGTGTAGGGTTTAGGGTTTAGGGCTTAGGGTTTAGGGTCTAGGGTTTAGGGTTTAGGGTTTAGGGCTTAGGGTTTGGTTCAAAAGTACAAGCCGACAGCAAAACGGCAGCACAGGTACAGAAGCACTGTTGGACTCGCAAATCTAAGGCACCTGCACACAGTCCGTCGGGTTTTCAGGGTCGGGTGGAGTATGCAATCCTGTCCGTGTGCCCGGCCTGCGTTCCCTTCGCTGTATCAACCGATGGAATCCAGTCGTCGCTGAGAGCCAAAACGAGCGAGAGGACGAGCATTCCAATGTGACACGTCACGGTCAAGTCCGTACATACTTCTCTGTACTGGCTTGTCAGCAGCTTGCAGAATTCCCTGAACCCTAAGCTCCTAAACCCAAATACCCCGAATTTTGAGCGCATTCCTTGGAAGCTGTACATGGTCTTCAGACGAGACTGGTGCCGTGGTGGTGCCACGTTTTCGTGGTGAACTCCAAACCACTGGTCTCCTGCGCCTCGAATCTAAGCTTAAAATCAAAAGCAGCCCTCGGGAACGAAGCATCCCCGCTCATCTAAATCAGCAGCTAGTTGGTAAAAATCCTCTGAGCCCTCACTCAATACGGTCCGATTCGCCACGATGACAAGTCCACTTTTCCTGAGATATTGAAGAGAAGGAAAAGTCGCATGGCACATTAATAGTACTGCTACTATCATTGTTTACTTCCAGCATAAGTACTATCAGTGCTATTATCATGATTGTTATCATTATATCACCATTGTTATCGTTAGACTCATCACCATTGATGATCATAATTATGCTTCTCCTTGCTATGCTTCCTATTATGCTCAGAAACCAAATCCTGCTGCATAATCGTACCGGTCGGATCACATCGGTCAAGCCCAACACATTGCTACTGACATGCTTCCCGGCGTTCCCTGCAGAGAGGATATTACACTCTTCAAACTCCGGCATGTAGCCCCCGACCGTAAACCCCAAAGACCTGTTCCAGGAGGACTGCCACTTTAAATTCACATCCCTAAAACCCTAAACCTAAACCCCTAAACCCTCAACCCTAAACCCTAAAGCCTAAACTTATCATACGGCTTAGGGCACAGCGTGTAGAGTATCACATCATCCCCATCTCTTAGTGCGAGGGTCGCTCGGGTGAGCGCGACGTTGAGCAGAGTAGCCTCCGGCAGAAGTCGGAGCCGGGGATGATGATGATGATGATGATGATGATGATGTTAATGTAGGGGCCTAAATACTTAACTATACTACTATTTTGGGGGTTCCTTCTTACAAATATAGTATAATATAACCCTCAAGCCCTATTCCAATCATTAAGGCCCCTATATTCACGGTTAGTTTTGGGAAGGATGGGCATCATCAGGATGACGATGACGATGGTGATGCTGATGATGATGATGATGATGATGATGATTGTGATGATGCGCCACTCGTCGTCTTCTTGCGACGACTGCTAGGCGTGCACGCCTTGGTTCGTTGGGCTGGAAAGCCACTACAACGGGCTACGAGCACCGCACCGTAGTTGCTCAAAATACCTCTCTCCAATGAGCAAGGTTCCCTTCTTGGCCAAAGACGTATAGTTAGATCAAGAATATACGGGATGTATGATTTCCAACTCTTCAGAGCCCGATACTGAGTGCCACAAGAAGCACAAAACCCATGAAGCCCTTGGTTCACAGAAACCCCAAGCCCTGCACCCTGTACACCCAACCTAAACCCAGAATAATGTAGGGGCCTTAATAATTCGCGCAACGCCGGTCCAGCGCCCAGACTTCATTGGATAGAGAGTGTGGGTGGCAATAACGGATTCACAAATTACCTGGCAGGCGCGAGGGATTCGCTACTTGGAACTATCATACCTGTGTCTTGTAAACACACTCGTTTGTGTGGCCAGAGTTTGAACTTCATCCACGCAACTTTTGACACGAAACATCGCAGGTTTGCTGTCTTGGGCCGAAGATTGACAAGAGTTGTAAATGTGTGTTTTCCCACGAGAAAATGCAAGTTGTCAGAGATGCTACACTTACCCTGAGGAGACACGTCATTGTCAGTAGAAAACGTGCAAGTACACGACAACCCATTTTTACAGCGTGAAACGCGTTGGACCCGGTAAAAAATGGGTTGTCACGCACTTGTACGTGCTTTTTTCAGAGTAATTCATGTACCCTTCCCTCCCCCCTCCCCCTCGCCCCTCCCCCCACCTTCCCCGGCAGGGCTGAGCGCTGGACGGCGTAGAGCGTAATAATTAGAATACTGTAGGGTTTGGGGGTATATTGTATTATACTTTAATTATGATAAGAAACCAACAAGATAGTATAGGTAATTATTTAGGCCCCTACATTATTCCGGCGAGCCTTCCCCGCGATTCCGATGTGGCTCTCGAAGGTTTGCCGCAGACCCGGGCTCTGCTGCGACACCGCCACGCGCAGCTCGTTGGCGGAGCCTTGAGGTTTAGGGTTGACCTGTGGCCCAAAAACTTAAAAACCTACCCTTTTAAGGAACTTTATATAGAATCCATAACAAGGAGCCCTAAAAAAGGTAGGTCTTGTCGGCTACAGGTAGGAGGTTAAGGGGTGGAGCCTTGAGGCTTTGGGGTTGAATGTGGGGCTTCTGGGCTCTTTTCATCGTAAGCTTTTTCCATATGGGTGTCTGCAGGGTTTTATAGGGCCTCAGAAAGTTTTAACAGAGTTTCGCGCTATTTTTCAGTAAGATTGCCATGTGTGTCTGCAGGGTTTTATAGGGCCTCAGTAAGTTTGAACAGAGTTTTCCGCTATTTTTCAGTAAGACATACGGACAAGAACGGCTCTGATAGGGAACCCTAAACCCTAAACCCTAAACCCTAAACCCTAAACCCTAAACCCTAAACCCAGAACGGCTCTGATAGGGGACTCATGAGTCTTTACAGCGGTTTCTTTCTCAACATAATCAAGGTCTTAGAGAGCTCCTCCTAGGGTCCGCATCGGGTTTTGTAAGGCTTAAGAGAGATCGTTTAGAGCCCACGGCACACACACACACACACTGCCGGGTTGAAGATGCATGAAGGTGGAGTATTTAGTTCTCTGAGCGCAGAGTGTTGGGATTAGGGTTGGGTCTAGGAGCATGGGGCGTGGGGTCGAGGGTTTAGGGTTGGGGTCTTCTGGCACCACATCCCGGAACCTAAAACCACTTAGGGCATTAGGGCATGTAGAGTGTGAGGGATTTGGGGCTGAGGATACCCTAAACCCTAAACCCTAAACCCTAAACCCTGTACCCTAAACTCTAAACTCTAAACCCTGAAACCTAAACCCTAAACCCTAAACCTCAACCCTGAAGCCTAAACCCTAAACCCTAAACCTTCAGGGTTGGGGTTCAGGGTTTTGGGAGTTACAATGTAACATCAGAGGTTTAGGGGACTAGGGCTTCAGGTGTGAGGCCATCGGGTTCCCATCAAAAACCTCAAAAACTTCAGGGCTTAGGGTTGTAGGGTTTAGGGCCTAGGGCTTGGGGTAATAGGGTGTAGGGCTTAGGGCTTGGGGTAACAGGGTTTAGGGCTTAGGGCTTGGGGTAATAGGGTTGAGGGTTTAGGGCTTGGGGTTTAGGGTTTAGGGTTTAGGGCTAAGGGTTTAGGCTTTCAGGGTTTAGGATTTAGGGTTGAGGGTTTAGGGCTTGGGGTTTAGGGTTCAGGATTCAGGGTTTAGGTTTCGGGATCTCACAAACCCTCGGCCTAAATACCCGAAAGATTTCCATGCGCACCCTCGACGTTCGCGCTCTGGACATGCGCTCTGGAGATGTTGAAGAGGCCACTCCGGAACCCTAAACGCTAAACCCCTAAACGCAAGACATCCCTAAGACATCAGGACCTAGCCGGAACCATAAATAGCCCCAAAGCCTGAGAGCCCTAAAACTCTGGGCCCCTAAAACTCCAATTCCCCGCAGTCCCCATAATGTAGGGGCCGTAGTACTTAGAATAGGGTTTTGGGGTATGTTATACTTCAATCATAACACGGAATCCCCAAACTAGTATCGGTTAGTATTTAGGCCCCTACGTTACCCTTTCGGTGAGGCCTTGCATCGAGAGGTGGTTCAAAGCCCAACCTGTGCGGCCGTAACAAACAGGATGCAGAGCTTGGGGGTTGGGGGGGGGTTAGGGTTTAGGGTTTAGGGTTTAGGGTTTAGGGGTCCGGCCTAGACTAAACCCTAAACCCTACAACCCTGAAACCCTAAAACCCTAAACCCTGAAACCCTATACCCTAAACCGTGGGCTCGGGGCTCGGGGGTTTAGACGAACTATTTCCAGAAGGGTTTAGGGTTTAGGGAAAAGTTTCAGCCCTTAAGTTGACGGGATCAGGATGTAAGCTTTAGGGCTGAGCGCTGCGGATGGTTTCGTTTTCTTAGGGTTTAGGGTTTAGGGTTTAGGGTTCTTAGGGTTTGGCGTTCACCCTAAATCCTAAACCCAAAACCCCCCGTTATCCTCACACTTCGCCTCCTCCGCTTCTTGCTCCCACGCTGATTCTAGCCGCTGCTTCGGCTCTTATTGGGGCTGAACCGGATCTATCATAGAGGCCAACCACTAGCCCCAGAGTTCAGGGTTTAGGGTTTAGGGTTTTGGGTTTAGGGTTTACGGTTTAGGGTTTAGGGTTTTGGGTTTAGGGTTTAGGGTTTAGGGTTTAGGGTTTAGGGCTTTCAATCCTGAATACCACTACCACCACAACAACGATTACGACCATGACGCGAGCGACAGCGACGCAAGCACATAAACCTCGGCCAAAGCCTCCACCTGTTTCGCGCTCCAAGCATTCAAACGGTAACCCTGAAGCAGTTCAGCTTCCAGAGTCCATACCCGACACCCACACGGTTTAGGATATCTTACAGGACCTTAAACCCTTAACCCTGAACCAAGGAGGTCTAGGGCATGTTCTAGGATGCTAAGCCCTGAAAACAAGGGGTTTAGGATGTACCACTAGGACCCCAAACCCTAAAATTGAGGGAGCTTAGGCTATTTTGTTAGGACCCTCAACCCTAACCCCCTTCACGGATTAGGAGATAATATAGGACCCCCTAATTAATTAAACCCCAACCGCCCTTTAAAGGATATAGAGTCCTTCTAGAACCCCTACAGATCCCCTTCGAGTCCCTTTAGGGGGGGTGGGTAACCCTAGGGTTTAGGGTTTAGGGTTTAGGGTTTTCGGGGTTTCAGGGTTTAGGGGTTTAGTGGTTTAGGATTTAGGGGTTTAGGAGTTAGGGGTTTAGGGGTTTAGGGTTTAGGGTTTGGGGTTTAGGGTTTAGGGTTTAGGGTTGACCCCTCGCCTTCGGCAACGCTCCGCACGAAGCTGAGGAGGATGTAGTGACGCTCCGAGCCTGGGGCTGTTGCTTCGGCTTGGGCTTGACTTCGGGTTTAGGGTTTTTGGTTTAGG